GGGATATTCGCAAGGTGGAGATTTTTCTCCTAAGGGATTGAATATTCGCAAGGTGGAGATTTTCTCCTAAAGGGCTGGATATTCACCAAGGTGGAGAATTATTAGGTATGACTCATAATACCAGGATTTGGAGTCTCTTGGAATGAAGAGATGTCTCTTGGAATTGAAGAGATGTGTCTCTTGGAATTCAGTGGGTTGAGATCAGCGAGGGCGTAGCAGAAGTTTGATGGCCTAACCCACATTGGTGCAGGTGTAACTCCCAGGTATCTTTTCTCCTAAGGGGTTGGATATTCGCCAAGGTGGAGATTTGTTAATGTATGACTCATATACCATATCGGGACAGACGCTGGATCGAAGCGGAGCGGAGCGGAAGAATTTGTCCAAATCGGGAAGTTACATTATGTGGGTTGGGGATGCTGGGTCAAAGCCCCGCTATACGGTACAGGGGTAATTTGGGAATTACATATTATACTGTAGGGTTTACTCTAGGATTATAAATAGATCTGTTTGTAATCCTTTTGCTTTGAGAGAGTTGAATTTTGTATTCTGTATTCTTTTCTGAAATTGAAAAGAAGGTCGCCGCTCTGCTCCCGAGGATGTAGGCATCTTTGCCGAACCTCGTTAAATCTCTGTGTTCTTCTGGATTGTGTCGATTACTGTTTTTCTTCGCCCTAATTTTCTCAACAGAATTCATATGTATAAGTCTCACTAAATAACACAATATCTATTAGTCTCATTTTTGTTGGAGGAAAGATTGAATAAGCTGTAATCTATAAAATGGTGCCACCTCCAACTTCCTACAAAATCATTTCTTACCGGTTTCTATAAATGCATATAAAAGACTTATTTTTTCTTAAAATCAGAATCTTTTGTTTTATTTTCCAATTAACACTCAATCAACTTAGTTGTCTTCTTTTCATTTTCCTCCATATACTACATAATAGTATTAATATTTGATCCATCTTCAAAAGAAATAATATTTTTGAATATAAACACAACAGGCATTATTGTCTTGTTAGGAATAGGGCTGTTAAAAAAGCTCGTTGTTTGCGAACAACGCATGTTCAGTTTGTTAAATAGCCTGTGTTCGATTTATTCTTTAAGTAAAGAAGCCGAACACAAATAAAATTTTTGGGCTTAATTTATAAATGAGGTGAACACAAACAAAAGTTAGTTCATTTGTATTTGATTCATTTTGACTCGAAATAATTAAAATGTAAGTTTTTCATTATTTTATTTGGCCCACTATTATTTATTTTAATAGTAATTAATTTTGACTCTGAAATATTAGTTTTTCATTATTTTATGTGGTCCACTATCATTTATTTTAATAGTAATTAATTAACTAAAAAGAAGAGGGACATGTCTCTTCCCAATAGACACCGCATCCTTTCGCTTTAATTAATTAATTCAATTATCCTAAATGAAATGTCATGTCTACTAAAATTATATTAAATCTTATTGGTCAATAATCATCATGATGGATGATGGTTAATAATAGATAATTAAGAAAAATGTTGTGTCTCTTCCCAAGAGACTTATATTTTCTCTTATAAATAAGAGAAGTGTTTTCTCTCTCCCCAAAAGAAGAAATGTATCTTTTCTCTCCGGAAAGTACAGAAAGAAATAAAGATTAGAAAGAGAAATTCTATCTCTTCAAATTGAATTCTACGATCATGAATATATGTACGAATATCTCATTTATGGGTATATGAAAATCATAAATTCAAAGATCTTGGACATTTAATTTATGAATTTTGGGTCATGAAGTTAGATTTTATAAATTTAAAAATCATAACATAGATAATTAAATAATAGTAATTATTTATATCTTTTGTATATCAACTTTTAGTATTTATTTCACAAGTACTAAATTTTATTATTTAAAAAAATATTTTAGTGGTAGAATTATAAAATAAGTTTATGTGCTAGACATGTAAATACATAGGATTTGGCTGGTATTTATGTAAATGTTTTAATTAGATTAAAATCAAGTTCAAACAATATTTGAAGATTGATCACAGAATTGAGCACTTGTATGTATTATGGAGCTTGGTCGTTCGGTGAAACTTCTTTAAAAGTCATGTTCGTGGAATCAGACAATCATCCGTGCTCTAAAATGATAAAAATTATCGCAACTTCAAAAATAATATCTTATAAAAAAAAATCAAATTCATAAAGATGACTTCACTATAACAGGACAGAACTTTATCATGATCTCAAATGAGACAATCAATGTTGAACCAATTTCTACAATTTAATCTCAAAAAATATTTTACAATATATTTATTCATATAAAAATAATACAGATAAAATAGTTCTCTGTTCCAGTTTATCTGGACGCAGTACGGACGTACTGCTAGCTTATGAGTTGTCGTGTAGAACGGGTGTATTTCCGTTACTCAAATGCTCATTTTTAATAGAGAAGGGGGGAGAGAGAGAGAGAGAGAGATCGCTCTAGAGGAAGAGAGGAAGAGAGAGAGAGAGAGAGAGAGAGACTGCGAAGAGGTGGAGGGCGGGGAAGGATATCAATTTAATTTCCCCCCCTTCCATCTTTGTTCCCTTCTTCTCTCTAGATTTTCCTGTGCTAGCTGCGCGTTAGATGTCCGGCGGGGACCATGGTTCCCGACCAGGTGCTCGCAAATTGTGTAGAGTCTCTTGTCCGTGAGGGCGGCGCCGCCGCTTTCACTTCCCTTGATGACTTCATCCACCAACTCGAAGCCAAGCTCGGCATGGATCTCTCCAGCAAAGCATCCTTCATCAACAAACAGATCTACATCCTCCTCGGCCCCCATTCCCCTCAACTTCCAACTTCTTCCACCGTCGTCGATACGGCCGACAGCAGACATTTCACACAGATTCCTACCTCGTCCTCTCTATACGACCACCTTCCACGGCAGCCAAATGTTCCTTCCTTCCGCTTTACTGCTCCCGCTGCGCTGGTAGCCGCATCGCAAGCCGAGCATATCAGTCATCACCAGTATCAGCCGGTGACGACGGTGACACCTGAAACTGTTCCTTCGCAGGCACCGGTTGTTCTTCCTAAAGAAAGGTTTGCCCTTTATGACTTTAATGATTTTTATCCGGTGGTATCAAATTAGGGTTTTGTTTTTTTCGACGCTAGCAGGCGTGCTTTGGTTTTTGGGGCTCGATTTGGAGTGCTGTGTGTAGTTTTTAAACCAGAAAGTTCAGAGATTGGATTAATCGAGCATCACAGTAAGGGAATTTGGGATTGGAAAAAAAAAAAAAAAAATTCACTGTTCCTGTTTTCTGGTTCGCGTGTGATGGTTTGATTTGGTAAGGTGGAAGGAAGTTTACTTGTGGAATTGGGATATTTTGACTTTATATGACCTGTAGACAAGCGTCTGTCGATGTTATTTATGGATGTATTTAAATTTTGGTCCTTGGGGTGTGGCAGCCTTCTATATTTTTTTTAACAATTTTCTTTTATTCTTTTTTAGAAACTTATTGGCTGTACGATAAATATAGTTTTTGTGACAAGGTTAGACAGAAAATGGAAAATTTATGGAGACGAGGGATTGTTTGTTATTCTATTAGAAAATATTTGCTGTTTGTTTTGATAGCATACATAAATAATAATTTTACAGATGATATTTAAGTTATAGTTTGGTGAGATAATGAGGGATTTATTGTTGTTTAGGAAGCCGTTCATTTGTCCTAGTTTGGCAAACTGATTTTGATAGCCACTAGTCCTTTTGTGTTAGATGGTAGCAGTGATCTTTTTTTATTTTTTTATTTGGCTATACTTTTCATCTATTGTATGCTCGAGAAAAATGAGTTTAATTTGGGGTTTTTGATCTTAAAACATGGTTTAAGTGAAAAGGAGAAAAATCATTTTTTTTGTTAAAACATGCTTTAAGTTGGTATGTTGAAAGAGTATTATATAAAGATGATAACTGGAGAGTGACATTGAAGCTTCATTTGTTGTTTTTGTTGGCTTTTGGTGCATTTCCTAATAAACTTCATTGCTTTTATAGTTAAATACTAGAAATATTTTGGCCTGTGATACATCAGTATGCTGAACTTGAGAGAATTTATGAAGCTTAACGACGAGCCGTAGTTACTAATATTGCTAAGTTGTCTGTGAAATTAGGTTTCAAAAAACACTCATGAAGAAGTATATCTTTTCATGGGTGCAAATATTAAGTAAAATTATTCTTTACCAAACTAATGGACAAGTATATTTACATATCTGCATTGTTGTCATTTTGCATTTTGCTGTTATTATGCTATAAATGTTTTGATTGAATGGCCTATATTTAGGTGCTTATTTTACCAAAAAATAAAAGAAAAATACTTTCTAAGAACTTAGAAATTTAAATTATTCTACGTACACATCTCCATCCCAATTTATTTTCCCAAGTACTTATGAAGCACCAACGTATGCAGCTTCTGATAGTTTAACATGATATGTGAAACGAAATAAATATAACTTGATTAAGAATTTTGTTGTGATTTTTGGGCTATGAAGTATTCTCCATTGTAGGTTCTTAGAATTTATTTTCCTTATGAGCATCCATGTTTCACGAGGACCTGCAAATTTTGACAAGTAAAACTAATGCTTAATCTTCCAACTTTTGCAGTGCATCAATTGTAGAATCATGTGTCTTCTATCCAAATCTCATTATGTATCAATCAATCATAGAATCAAATTAACTCGAATTTTGGAATATTAGCTCCCTCTCTCTTTTGATGGTTTCATGAAGCCAAGGTAATTGTGCAGGAAATCTAGTTGTCCTTCATATATTTGTAGATAGCATCAACCTACACCTACATTGTCATATCAAATTGTATTTTCATTTAGCGGGTGCTTAAAAAAAAAACTCAACTTTTGCAACAGGCAGTTGTATATGCTTTATTTATTTATTTATTGTTTCGATTTGCAATTACATAGGAATGTGGCATAAGAAGTGAAAGCTTGGTCTAATACCTAGAGTTGCACTAAATTATTCAGTAGTAGTAGTTGTAGTTATAGTAGTAATAACGATGATGATGATGATGATGATTACATTCGCAGCTCTATTCACATAGCTGAATAATATATATCATGTAAGAATCCTCATTACCCTTTCATGACCTCATAAATGAGATGACAGAGAGTTATATTGAAACGAATGGTTGAAAAATAAAGTATTTTACCTAGATGGAATAGCTTGTTAGGCAAAATAAAATGCATGGTTGAAGAGAGAGAATTGAAAAGCAACATGATATGGAAATGTAGGAGGAGATGGGACAGGTCCAATTTCCAACCAAAGAGTTAATAAGTATAAAGTCCTCAGTTATTTGTTTGCAAAGGCACATAATGTTTATGTTCTCTTTGAATAAGACATATTTTCCAACTTTGGGACAATGCGCAGGTGGAGTTTCAGACCATTAAATCCTTTCAAGCTATCTGCGACCATGGATGCTCGAAGGTAAGGGCATCATTATCGAAGGTGTCAATCCCAACATTATGTAGTTTGTGAGGTTTACTATGAAGAGGGATCCATCAGAAGAACTAGATGTTACTTTTCTTTTGAACTTTAAACAAGTTTTGCTTTTCCATACGCTTCACAAATGTAATAGGGAGCCTCATTTTTGTGCTAAGCTAGCTCTTCGTAGCACTTTATTTTTATGCTTGTAGATGATGATGGGGAGTTTTTTTCTATTCTTGTAGATGATAGGTCTCATTTTTGTACATGATAGATGCACACATGTATAGTTTTGTACTTTTTTTTTATATATTAATGCAAATGCATATTTCAATGAATAAGTCATATTGATGTTTCTATCTATTGATTTTGAAGATGTATTGGATTAGCATTATGAATTATTGTTCAATGTTTAAAAGAAAATTTTATTGCCACTCATTAATGCATATTTTGTATGTTGATGGCAAGCATGTAGATTTTTAAAAATGTTGTGTTGAAATTCATATATAGTTTTCTAAATATGCATTCTTCGAACATATGAAAAGAACCTTACATATCATGTTAAATCTCTCTCCGTCTCTCCGCACACCCCACCATCTCTCACTCTCCCCAATCCCTGCTAGTATTAAGTAATGGAGCTCCATATATTACTGTTGTAAAAAATGCTATTAGCCTTTAAGGTGATATGACTATGTAACATCTGAAGCGCTACTGTCTGCCTAGCTATTTTGTTTAATAATTCTATTTTAATTATAAGGACGAATTTTGAAGATTGTTATATGATATCCTTCAATTAATTTAAAGGTTAATTCCAAGTTTCCAAAATCTTTCCAAATTATCCTCTAAGATAACTACATTGAAGACACGTCTATAATATATTTTGCTAGCATGCGTAATTTGAGGGTTATATGACCTTTACTACCATTTCTTCTTTATATCATTGTACTTCTCATCTTATTTTGCAATATTTACGATTCATGTTTTGTTCCTAGAAGCAGGGAATAATCTGCATTTTCAGTAATATTGAGCAAAATAAAATCCTATGATTAATTTGAATTTCTTGTCACTCTATTTTTTTCTTAACATCGTCACTGGATGAGAGGATCATGCCTTAATGGTTTTGTTACAGTGCACCTGCTGCACCTAAAAGACGAGGCGGCCCAGGTGGTTTGAGTAAAGTTTGTGGAGTTTCACCTGAGCTGCAGGCCATTGTTGGTGAACCAACCATGGCAAGGACAGAGGTTCTTCATTGACTAACTTGTTTTATTTTTTTATTTATTATTATTTTTTAAAAGCTTTATTGCAAGATTCCGTTGCTATGCATGCTCTGGTTTATCGAACAAATAAAATATTCTATTACACTCTTATACTTCATGTCAGATTGTGAAACAATTGTGGGCTTACATCCGAAGGCATAATCTGCAAGATCCTAATAATAAGAGGAAGATCATATGCAATGATGAATTACGTCTAGTTTTTGAAACAGATTCCACCGACATGTTCAAGATGAATAAACTATTGGCTAAACATATAATTCCACTCGAACATACAAGTTTGTAGCTCTCAATATAATTTTTTTTTTCACTAAAACAATTCATTTTATTCTTATTCTCACCCTGATTCTCGGATTTTCTACAGAGGAACCGGCTCCAGACACTAAAAGACTCAAGAAATGTGACAGGGAAGTGGATGTTGTACCAGAAGCTGAGGCTGGACAATATTCTGTGGTTATTTCTGACGGGCTAGCTGAATTTCTTGGTACAGGTGAAAGGGAGATTCTTCAGTCTGAGGCATTGAGGCGTGTTTGGGATTATATAGAAGCTAACAAACTAGAGGTTAGTATCTACATTTTATTTGTACTATTCTGATTAGGAGTTTAGCTCATTTTCCTTTTTCAGCAATAACCAATTTTTACTCTTATCCTGCGTCAAAAGTTGAAGCTTGTCTTTTGAATACATTTAATGCGCTTTGTAGATATGCTTGGGAATAAACTTAGCTCCAAACCTTCCTTTTATCTTTTCTACAAGCAGCTAATATTGGTTGTCATATTACTAAAAGGTTCAGCTTGCTGAAACTCATTCAGGACCACAGAAATAACATGGTACTGTGCGACACAAAGCTTCAGCGACTCTTTGCATGCGAAAGTATACCTGCTTCGGGTGTCTCCAAAATATTGGCACACCACTTGTTCAAACAATCCTAACAAAGACGATATTAACTGGTTTGTTGATATTAGCTTTCTTTTTTCTTCTTTGCTTTTCAATCATTTTATATTGTTGAACATTTGCTGTTTATTTATATATTTTGCTTGATTAGTTCTCTTTTGTTGTGTTCGAGGTTGTTTATTGCTGCAATGAACATGAAATGATTAAAAGTTGCATTGCAAGGATCTAACATAGTCATATCTTTGCATGAAATGCACCCACACATTTTGCATCATTTCTAAATGTTTGTATCTTATAATCTCTATATTACCATGAACAAACTTTGACAGATTATAAATATTGGTGATTTAAAAAAAAATTGGATCGGAGTCCAATTCGAGTTTATTTGATTTTACTAGATCTTAAATGATCCCAAATTTATTTGATTGACCTTCAAATAACGTTTGTAAGGCTGAACAAAGTTTATGAACGCATGAATTAGTTGAATTGATATGAATTAGCCTCTTTTTGATTTATTGACTCTTTTCTCGCATGCAAGTAGAAGTCTTTTTTTAGGACCTCTTGGGCAATGGAGGCAACAAATTTCCTACTATTGGTTGCGGGCCATTGTGTTTTTGCGTGGAATCAAACTTTCTAAATATTGATAATAGTGACTCCCATAAACAACGTGAGACTTTTAAATGGTGGTTACCACAAAGTTCCTATAATAGATGTTGTAGAATTTAGAAGAAAAATTCTCTCAAATTCTATAATAGATGTGTGTGTGTGTGTGTGTGTGTGTGTGTGTGTGTGAATATATAGGCAACTATTTCTTGATGGTATCAGAGCCCTAGTCCTAGCATTGTACTCGAGCCGAAGGGAAGAACGAGTAGGAGGAGGTTTCAACTTCAAAAGCAGGGTGGCGAGAGCAACTTCAAAAGATCTTTGTATGTATCGATCTTGTCGTTGTTTTCTGGAATGCAGGAGTGGAAGAAGGGAGTTCTGGAGGTTTTTGTGTTGTGTGATCCCGTCGTTGCTTTCCAGCGAGTCCTAATTGCGACAACTGGAATTTCGAAGGTCTCGCTTTGCTGCGATCCCGTATTTGTTGTTGTTGCCACATGGACAAAGAGGAGACAGGGGCTATGTTCCTATGGTTTATATTTGGGCACAAATAGGAGAAGAAAGAGGGAATTTCGAAGGTTTTTGTACACAACGCTCCCTTCGTTTGTTGCGAAATAGAGGGGAAATGCAAGCTCCTGCGTGCGTAGTAGGGAGATGGCAAAGCCTTTCTTTGTTGGGTCACATCAGAGAAACAAACGAATGTTTCATTTGCTTTGTCACAAGAGGGACAGAACAGGGGGGGTTTCGCTTGGAACAGAAACTGGCGTGGGCTTCAGATCGAGCATATAAAGCAATGAATTGTTAAATTGAGTTTGATCTTGATGATGAGATAGATCAAAATCAGGTCAAGAAGAGGAAGTCACGTGTGTTCTGTGTGATATAGACTTGGATCCTTGAGATTGAGAATGTCAGGAGACGAAAATAGTGTGGGAGTTAAAGGATTGACACTTTTGGGGATGATAGACCTTGAAGTTCTGAAGATCTTGGTCGAGCTCATACAAAGTGCTAGCATCTCGACGGAAGCCACTACCTCAGCTTGTACTCCGATGCAGGTGAAGCTAGACCTGCCAACCTATGAATATGAAACTTGATGGACTGGCCATGTATATGAGTTGGTCATGTCGGATTGAGGCTGCTCTAGTAAGGAAGAGATTAAAGAGATATTAAACGGAGGTTGAGCCAAAGAGTGACAGTGCTGAGAGAGATGAGTGAAGGGTCACACACACCTTGTCTTACACCTGGCTACTCAACTCTATTTTTACATCTATTGCCTCATCAATAGAATGATATTCAAAAGATAAGAGGGACATCTGGGTGAGCTGAAGAGGATCTATGTTGTGGGTGAGAAACAAATGATGTTGTTCCAAATTTAGCGTGAGATAGAGATAGTGATACAGGGTGATACTTCGATTCAGGAGTACTCCATAGATTTGGAGCGTTTGTGGGTAGATCTTAATAACTTTTCACCGATGTCAAGCTATGGTGATCCAGGATGTAAGAAGGGGGAGATCTTTTGACAGATGAACACTATGCAGTTTATTGCTCATTTGAACCTGACTTTTAATCAAAGATCAATCCTTATACCCAAGTGACGATCCTCATTGGATGAGACTATTGTTGCGATAATATAGAAGAAAGTTGTATGAAGCTACACTCTGAGCCAAGTGGACTTCCGGGTACACGATCGGATTTAGTTGTCTCTAACTCATGTATGACACGTGTCCGGGGGTGACTCAAGTGCTACACCTGCGATGAAGTAAGCTATCTGAGCAAGGTCTGTCATAAGCCACCTAAGGAGAGAGAGACATGTGGATGTGGATAGTTTAGTGGCTGTGGTGGTATAATAGGTAGAAGAGTGAGCTATCAGGCAAATTTGATGGTAACCGATGCCGAGGGAGAGACATGTGTGCTCTTTATTGATGAGCATCATGAGTTTCTAAAGATGTTGAAAAGGAAGCAGAAAACAACAGATGATGAGGTTGAGAATGCATCCACATTGTCGTTAATAAGGGGCGACATTGCTACTTATGCTCACTTTGAAAAAGGTACTCATGATACACATGTTCTTGCCACTATTTCCACCACAAAATCATTAGAATGGATTGTAAATTTTTGTGCATATTGTCATGTGACAGGTACTGTTAGAGATTTCTCTTCCTATACTCACATAACAATTCCAGAGAGTATCGAGACTGCTGATGGTGTATTACAACCTGTAATTGGTAAGAGTACAATGAGGTGCATCGATTCTATGATTTTTTCCAACATTTTGCATGTTTTCTTTTTTTTTTAGTGAATCTTTTATTCATTAGTGTCATTGTTCTCCAACTAAAATGTGTTGTTTCATTTGATATTCCTAAGGTGATCTTTCAAGAGAAAGGAATGAACTAGACACTTGGGACTGAAACATGACATAATGAATTTTGGTACTTGGATAAAGAAGGGTTGTACTCAACTTTGGCATACATGGCTGAGAGTCTTGGAGTAGAGGGGTGTAGAGGATGTGTTATTGCTTTATCACAAAAGCTTGATACATTTTTGTTTTAGTTTACTGAGTTGTTTGTATTCGTCTTTGTATGAAAAGACAAATAAAGAAAAAACTTGTATGTGATGCTTGTGAGTTTAAGGGTCTGTTTGGCGCAGCTGTAGATTCTCAGCTTTTCAGCTGCAGCTGTGCTGCCCCAGGAAACAGCTGTAGGAAAGCAGATGTGGGGAAGCTGACTGTCTGTTTGGTGTAGCTGCGTGAAAAATGCTGTGAGCCGGCTGTTTCATGTAAAAATGACCGAACTGCCCCTGTTTGCTAAAATCGTTTAAAATTTATGATTTATTTGTATAAATATGGGTTTAATATACATAAAATTTAAAAAAAATATTATTTGTTAATTAACTAAATGAAATATATTGTTTTTAATATTTGTTTTTATAGAAAATTATTAAAAAAAATTTGTAATTTTGAAAACATAGAGGTTTTAAATTAATATTTATCTATATATCAATGTTTACAGATATTTATTCGTCTATACATATAAAAATTGAGAAATATATTTTTTAGAAGCATAAAATTAATTCTCCATACTGAATATTTTAAAAGTTGATATAATTTAGAGTATTTACATAAATACCACATAATTCATGTCTCAACATATTAGACACCTAAAATTACATATTTTCTTGGATAACACAATTTTTCAACATCATATAGTGCATGACAATCTAAATAGCTTCCAGCTAAATGCAAATAATATAGAGCATTATAATCCGTAAAATGATCTTCCATAACCATCTATAAAGTTATTTATTACATCACCAGTGTCAATAAGATAACTTCTACTACGAAATACTCGTAAGTTACAAATATTTTGTCTTTCTAACAAATTGAAAATCAATCACATATTAACCAACATATTAGTAATTTGTTCTCGAATTGCCGTCATTTCAGTCGCACCTTCCCCTTAGTACAAATGGTTGATTGTTCGCTGTCATCTCGTATCATAGAACTACCAATTTGATTTTCAGATGGGTCTTCAACTAATTCCTGTTGGTTCGCTTCGGCATTGAGGAAATCAATGTCATATCGAGACGGGTGCCGCCTAATATAATTGTGTATTGTCATTGTCGCTATCACAATCTGAACCTGTTTTGGAAATGGGTAAGGAGACATATCACGTAATATCACCCATTTCTTATTCCAGACACCAAATGTCTTCTCGATGACGCCTTGCAAAGAGGAATGTCTTTTGTTGAATACCTTCTTTCTGGTTCTTGTTATATTACTTGCTCGTTCAAAATCAGGTATATGATATCTGGTATCAGGATATGGTTTGAGATACCCTCGCTGCAACGGATAACCGG